TAATATACTACATACATAGAGTAAAAGTTATACTTAATAATAAAAAGTACAAACGGAACGGAACGTACGGAACCGGTTGTGTGCAAATTCTGTTTTTTTTTATTTACCAAACCGACACTGTTTCCATTTCGAAGGTAATTTCTTATCATGCCTCTATTTCCTTATTGAAACTTCCGGGTCAGTGTCTCAGCGGGGATTTTAGATCACTTAAACGTTAAATAATATATGAGAAAATGCTTGATAACTATATTCTTTATAGCATCATCCCAGCAAAATATATATGGTTGTTACTTGTTTATGACGTTATGACGTGTGCTATGAATAAAATATTAATGTATTTTTTGACCGACATCAAAAAAAGGAATACTCCATCTGTCTGTTTTTTGTGAGTATCTTTTTGTTTTTTAAATTGTGAATCGATTTTCATATTTTTAGAGTATAAGCTATATCTCAACGGTACCTAATAAAAGTTATCTATGAAGTTGGAATTTGTACTTTAAAATGATTTCGAAGTCGGTATGGTCTATTTTCTTTTTATATATAGTAATTAGAATGAATGAATGATGAATGAATGAAATGAATAATTGTATGAATTACTCCTTCATGAAAATATCTGAATGGATTTGGATGTTCAGTACACATTCATGCACTTAGGGAAATAATCGATAGAGGTGAGGGTAAGTTGTTAGTAAGGGGTAAAAGATAATATAATATTTATTTATTCCCATATGGTTACTTCTGAAGAGGGTTTAGGTTAAAATGAAGTGTAATCTAGTGAACTCTTACACATTTAGTCCAGTAATACTTCGCCCCGAATGAAATGAAAATAAGGAATGAAAAACTTGCGCTCTTTTTTCTCTTAACTAAACAAACAAAGTATCAATGTATATATATATATATGAAACGTTTTATTATTGAGTTTATAGAAAAAATGCTCAGGTTCGTCCCTTGGTACGTTTTAACGGTTAATATAGATTTCTCAGAGATGAAATATTTTCTCGCGGTAAAAAGTATCCAAAATTTTGACCTGGATAACCATCTGCCACTATTCCAAATTTCATCAAAATCTGTCTAGTGGTTTTCTCATGATGCGTTCCCAAACAGACAGACAGACAAAAATTCTGAAAGCTATAGATTCGACCTCTGTATCGATAGAAATCACTATTTCAATAAGATTTACCAAAAAATATTCATTATACAGATTCGACTCAGTTAAACTTTTATTATATAAATAGATTGACCGCGTTTCCCGTAAAATATGTAATTGTGAATTTATGCAGTTGTTCTGCCCCCGAACCAATATTTGCCCCTAGAACCAGGTCATAGAGTGCAGAAACGGCATTTTCACTGAGTCAATACCAATTAGTGTGATTCCAGTAAACAGTGGAGTGAATAAATCCGACGATTTTGTTTGCCTTTAACCCACCGTTAATCCGCACCGTACATTAAATTTATTCGGAAGCTTTGAATTTTTTTTATCGGTCAAGTCCATTCAGACTATTCATGTTATTGAATAAAGCAACTATGAAACTAAAGAGCTCATAATAAATTCATACGTGAACTTCAAATTTTGTATTTTTTGAAACCTTCACGAACATATAACTTTTTTATTGACCGATTACAAAAAAAGATGTTCGATTTACATGTTATTTTATGTATGTATTGTATACGACTAGAGACTCACCCTTGCTCCGCTCGGGTTCTTCCCTAGGTAAATTTTAACGGTTAGTATAAATTTCTCAGAGATATTTTCCTGCAGTAAAAAGAATCCTGAATGGTGATCCGGATAACCAACTATCATCATACCAAATTTCATCAAAATCTGTTCAGTGGTTTTCTTGAGATGCGTTCCCAGACAGATAGACAGACAAAAAATCTAAAAACAATAGATTCGGCCTGTCTATCGATAATAATTACTATTTCAATAAGATTTTCCAAAAAATATTTAATGTACAGATTCGACTCTATTAGAATTTTATCATATGTAGGTATAGATAACGTCGCTGATAGATTTCTTCGGCTCTCCATTAAATATTAACTAAATAATATTTTTAAGTTAGTACTGCAAGTGCAGTAAGTACACTAAATTCTTCATTTTAATTCTAATAAAAAAAAATATATCAACATACTAATGAAAAGGTCTTGGAAAATAAAAGACACTTTTCATTTTGGAAGTCTTCGCAATATTAGGTTTCAAAGATCACAGCACCCCACTCTTTGTCGTATCTAAACAATACGAGCTTAAATGTGGAAAAGCTTATTAGGTTTTACAAAATATTTTCTTTCTGTACTTTTCGCTTATATTTTGAACAATGTATTTGGGTGACGTTATTTTCGATACTTCTATAATATTAATCTGACAATCTAAGGGAGAGGTGACAGATTCGATACCCATTCGCGACAAAAATATCTAAAACTCATGGGGAGTTTTATAGGTCAACCTAATGGGGTCATTGAGAATATACCCAATATATTATTTACTAGCAACTCACCCTCGTTTCGCTCAGGTTCATCCCTAGCTTGCTTCCCAATAAAAACTTTAGTCCCCATTTTCACACCCCTTAATGGATGATTTCCAGGATAAAAAGTATCCTATGTCCTTCCCAGGGTCACAAACTATCTTCGTACCAAATTTCATCTAAATCGGTTCAGTATATCCAGGGATTACCACCTACAACGTCACAAACTCACAAACTTTACCTCTTTATAATATTAGTATAGATTAACTTTTGCTCACGGCTTTGCTCGCAACTAAAAAAATATTAGAAAAAAAATCTAATTGGTCTAGTAGTTCTAGAGATAAGCACATTCAAACAACACACGGCAACAAACAAAACAAACCCTTCAGCTTTATATATTACTATAGAAAATTATTTTATTACCTCACGAGAAAACATAAAACAAACTAACTTTAAAACACGTGTTCAGTGTAAATTGGAAAATAAAGCAGCCAGTGGAGGTAAGTTGGAAATGTTCAAGCTTTATGTTGGATTGAAAGGATTTTTTCTCATTCCGGTTTTCACACTCATTCAAACATCACAAGACGAGCGCCTCTGACAATCCCCTGTGTACTTTCTCCGTTACACGGTACACTTAGCGCGTTGAATACTCAGGTTAATTCTCAGAGAATAGTGTACAAGTTTTTAAAATATATCTAAGATTTTTTTATAAATTAATCTTAAATGAAGAAATGGTGTCTTTACATAGACGTAAATGTTATATATACAACTGCCTCGGTGGTCTAGTTATCGGTCCAGAGGTGTAAGGTTCGAATTCCGCGTCGGTCCAAGTTTAGTTATTGAATCTTTCTGTTTAGAAAGTCTCAGTAAAAGTTGGGAAATTGGTGTTTCACCCCAATGCCTCGGAGAGTACGTAAAGCCGTTGGTCCTGCGTCTGATCTCTCACCGGTCGTGTCGAATTGTCAGCGCATCGGAATTTGAGAGTAAAACGTTAAGGGAGTGTACTGGTGTCTGCGATATACTTGTGCACTATAATATATTCCGCGTACTTGGCTAGTCTCAGTGAGACTGGCCGTCGTGGCCGAAATTGATATCAATTTTAATCATTCTTTTTTTAACAAATACATTACAATCTAAACGTGTCCCATATAAACCACAAAAATAAAACATCCTTACTGGTGTAATGTGGTCTTACATTATATCTGTACATATAATAAAATTGTAACTAATCCGAATCTGTACATTAAATATTTTTTGGAAAATTTTATTGAAATAGACATTATTATCGAAACAGAGGCCGAATCTATAGTTTTTAGAATTTTTGTCTGTCTTTCTGTCTGTTACCGCATAACAGAAAAACCACTGGAGGGATTTTGATGAAATTTGGTATGCTGGTTTTGGTTTGGTTGGGTTTGGTTGGCTGGTTATCCGGGTCAACATATAGGATACTTTTTACCGCGTGAAAATATCTCATTTCTGAGAAAAATACAATAACTGCAATCTAAGAGTACTATACTAATATGCAAAACCTAAGAATTTGGTTTTTTGTCATCTGAACGCTGGCGGAGCCGCGGGCAATGCTAGTATAGTCTATAATGTGCTCTTAACAAACAAACAAACAAACAAACGAACAAACAAACAAACAAACAAACAAACAAACAAACAAACAAACAAACAAACAAACACACACACACGGTATGTTCATTTCACTACACTATAGAACCCTTTTATTGGGGCAAAACTTCTCTTTAGCTCTTTTCTTACAATATATAAAATTAAAATGACAATTGGGAGAAAAATAATTTTAAAAGAAGATGTTATATTTTTTTTATATTTTGATGATTTTTTTCAATTTCGTCATTGTTTTTGTGTTTGATTTTGGTTGTTATGTTATTCCCCTTCATAGTAATTGTGTTCAATAAATTATATTAAATACTATGGGGGTAATTATTAAGGGTTACTTTCTATGGGATAAATTAAATTACCTCCCATCTAATTACGGATTATATTAAAATGGAGGTCGCAAATTCAGTTTGAATACAGATTACTACTGTAGTATGAAAGTTTGTTTCATTTTTTTTTTGATTTTGTTGAAAATACATTTTAAGCCTAAATACTTGTAACACTTAAAAGCATATTAAATTTTAAAAAGAAAATATGTAATTCATTAGTTAATCTCTGTTTACTTTTGTAAGTTTGTAGATAGATTTCTTTAGAATATTGGAAGTATATTTTAGGTGTAAAAATAATTTACCCCATCAATAATAAAACCAGAAACAAAATAGCGATAATCTTATTAATATTATAAATGCGAAAGCTTGGATGAATGGATGTGTGTTACTCAATCACGCCAGAACGGCTGAGCGGATCTGGATGAAATTTGGTACAGACAGAGATTATAGTCTGGAATAGCACATAGGTTACTTTTTATCCCGGAAAAAATATATGATTCCCGTGGGATTGATTTTTTTTTGTTTTTATTTTTCACAGAGCAAGAAATCGACTATTTATTCAATTCTAACCGTTTAAACGTACTTAAGGATGAACCCGAGTGTAGCGAAGGTGAGTTTATAGTATCACATAATAAAAACAGGTCACCGGTAGTCACCCCTACGACCAATAAACGCGGATACATACTGTCTTCATACTATTTTTGTACACTTTTTTTTAAATATATATTGCATTATGTTTGCATACACATTAAAAGAGAACGAATTTCTCTTTGCGCATACGTATCACGTCATCAAAATTTAAATTCACTGTGCTCTCTAGAGAAACAGCACAACGTACATCTTATTTGGTACAAATGGTTTCTGAATTTTAATAAATTTGTATAAGAATGGCTTCCTGTTTAAACATATTCGTATGTTAGAACATGTTTTATAGTCAAAATATCTTTTTGTATTTTATTTATTATGTCTGTCACTAGTTTTTGCCCGTAACTCCCTAACCCTAACCAGACAAGTGCATTAATGCTTAACATGGAGGTATCACGGTCTATATCTATATGATAGAATAGTAATTGTTGTACTCTTATTACGAACAGTAAAGGAAATGCAGTACTAGTTAGGACTTAGGGCATAGACAAAGCGAGGAAGGAGAAATATTATAATCGTAGTTTCAACTCGACTTCACTTTATCATTTTTTTTTCATGTAAAAATATTATAGATACGAATATAAAAACAAAACGTTTTAAAATCACTCGAACATTACACTTGGCACAGTAACAGCACTAATGTTGTTTATGAAAGCGTATTTAGTATGAGAGTCAACTTCCAGCATTTCTTGACTTTAGTTAACCTGATAGCCTCTTGAATTGAGAAATGCTAACATTTGCTTTACCCGTTATATATAGATACTTGTTTTACTTTGAAACTATAATCACTAGTTTGATTCTCAGTCAGAGTAAATTCCATCCAGTGGTTTTATCGTGATGCGTTCCTAAATAGACAGACAGACAGACAAAAATTCTAAAAACTATAGATTCGGCCTCTATATCGATAATAATTACTATTTCAATAAGATTTTTCAAAAAATATTTAATGTACAGATTCGATTCAGAATTTTATGATATGTTTAGGTTAAACACATATGGCTGAATATACCTTTATGCATATTTAATACCACATGGGATAGAAATAGGTTTTTTATATTTATGAGTACATTTAGGTAATTATATAGTTATCGTGCGCCATGTTTAGTTAAATACTCGTAGATTGAACATTAGTATTCATTTGTTAACCATTAACATATACTTCCGCTAAATTGTCGGTTAAACATGAATTATTATCTATGTATAATTAAAACGTTACAGAGCACACGGTAACTGGGGCAAAGTACAATATTACATTCAGAAACAACTCGTTGAAATCGATCCGTTCGATATTATTTCTGACTCGCTCTACTTATTATTCTAATTTTTTCTGAACTTTTGCTAGGCTGATATTTGGTTAAATATATAAGGTTTAAAAAGCAAAAGAGATTTTTTGCAACTTGGAACTATTCGACGTGGTTTTTGGACTAAAAGTAAATATAAAGACTGTTCTCAATGTTTAATTTAGTTATTTTATAACATACCAGTAGATTTTGAGTATTTTCCAGACTTTTACAGAAAACTTTTGGCCTTTTTCACTAGTTTTCAGACAAGGTTGGTTGAAAAGAGGTTCGGTACCTCAGTTTTTCTTATACAACTACATATATAGAACAAACATAATATGTGATTTGTATGGTACACACTAAAATTTATTTCATTGATAATATTTAAAAATGCTTTCCCCACCTTATGTAGAACATACCATACAATCTACTACCTACTGGTTGGATGGCTTAGATTTCATTATACCTATCAATTTACCAAATGATAATCAAAGTATAAAAAGTTAGAAAAATTAAAACAAGTAGAAACGAAGCGTATTTTAATATGACGCTATGAAAATTATGTATATACATAATTTACTTATAACACCTCCACTTGCTAAGCTACTTTAATTGAGAGCGATTAATACAAAATAAACAAAATATATATGGGAATATATGTAAAATATATTAAATTGGGCTACATGTAGAACATAGTGCAAAGCGAAACATCGATCATTTGTCAGGTGACACATTCCATTAGAGCGTGGTATTTTGCTTGCATTTTGCACAAAAATATTATTTGAAACTTGATTTAAAGATGCTAAATTGTCTCTTTGGGTCATATCTTTCATATCTTTACAAAAAATGCAGACGAATGATAGAATCAGACATTTACAATTTAATACTACGATGACTTCAAAAACTTAACTGATAATGAGAGCAAAAATTATAAAAAATATCTGTTTACCTTATTTTATACATATGATTGTCCGATGCAATACTAATGAGGAACATATAGCAAAGCGTATAAAATCGTCATCTATCAACAAGCTTGTCAATCGTTTGTAGAGATTATTACGTCTGAACTACGAGCGTGGAGCTCTACTGGTACACTAATGGCTCAGGAGTGACAGATGTTCACCCCCACACGATGCTAAGACCGGCTATAAATCTTTCTAAAACGTTTCGTGATGTTTTTTTTTTAAATCCTATAGTATTGTTATTCACCTGTAGATGAAAGCTACGAAAATTCTAGATTAAATTAAAGAGTTGGAAGGTTTTAAGCTGGCTCTAATTTTAATAAGTTGTAAGTCATTTAAGTCTTAGAACGTTGAAAGAACTTGGGATATAATCTGTGGTAACATCTTAACGTACGATTATATGGCGACGTATATGACAGGGTTCTTTGTAGACAATTTTGTATACAATTTTAAGTTTGCTGTAGCAAATAACGATGTAACTTTGACTTTACAAATCTATATAAAAAATGATAAGTACAGGTATAATATATGCTGTTATTTTTCATGGCAAAGACAAAAGAGTTCAGTACCTTTTCTCCTCAGTTTCTAAAATAATTTTCTTTTATGTCGATCAAAAAATTCATAAAACAGTAAGTTTTTTATTTTCATACTTAAATTCTATTCATATATGTTTTCCTCAAATTAATGATTATGATTGAATTTCGACCAGTATGCGAACACTCGTATATTGTATTTAAAGTCTAACAATTCTGCTACATTTATGAGAGTAATTTTTCAAAGAATCACCAGTACTTTGTTAGGGTTTGTTAAATTTTTCGCTGTTCATTTTCATACTTCCATATTAAACTGTAACTCTGCCGCGTGCAAAACTATGAAACAATAGAAATACGATAAACTTTGTGTCGGCAGGTTTTTTGGCAGCTGCTAGCCAAAATACAAAGAGATGGATGAATTTTACTAAAAAATGCTGTGGCTTTGGTTACCGTCCGCTACAGCCCGGAAACATGTTTGAAATATTATTTTTTAAAATGTCTATTGTAGATTTATAAAATGATTTAGTTGTAACTATCTTATTTAGATTTTGTGTATTTATTATACAATATATAGATACATATATATGTGTTTAATTCACTTTTATCTCACAAGTAATATTGTTAATTTGTTAATAGTTTAGTATTATATACTTATTAAAAGTACAAATCATATAACCGAGTTTCATTTTCAAAATGAACGCCTGTACATACTACGTATGTATTCCTTACTTGATATCAAATACGGCTATTTGTAAAGAAAGTCGGTATCAAATCCGGCTAATTCTGGAGGTTAGTATCAAATACGGCTATTGCCGACTAAAAAACGTTAATATTAGCTAATTTTTGAACTCCATGACATTATCTTCGTGTTACCGTGTAAGATAGATTATAATATATAGCTTATACATTTATTCATCAGTTGCACAGTTAAGAAGAAATTCATATTTTTTATACATTGCCAAAAATGAGCTAAAGTGTAGATAGCCGCCTTTGAACATAGGCGACTCAATACTCGTCACTCCGATTACCATGAAAATTGAAAAATCGTATTGTGAACGATCGAGAAGGTACATACTACCATCAACGTGGTGACATAATTTTTTTTTAAATTAATATACGTTTGTTTGTTTTATCTGTACATATGTATATAGGCAAAGACAAAACAGTTCAGTGCCTTTTTCTCCTCTGTCTGACATTTTCTTTTTTTTTTGTTTAGTAGCTATTGACAAGATTTAATGCTATCAATAAACAAAATTATTATTGTCTAAATATTTTGACCACTGACCGAATATATATAACTAAGTATATTTTAATTTCACCGTATGTTTTTATCATGTAAATTAAATACATGAATTTCATATTATACTTAGGCGAACCAGGGCGGTGTCCACTGTACATTATAAGGATTTATAATCGAGATGTAAACCGTTCCCTCTCGCAGCTTCAATCTTCGCTTGTTCTAAACAGACACTTCAATAGAATATCGATCAAAGCTCCTCGAGGCGCAACTGAATTTAACTTTAAATGGAGTTTGCTTAGAGTTCCCTCAAAATATATTCGATCTTTATTGCTTTGGATCAATTTAGAAAGTTCTTAGCTTACACACGGTTGAGATCTAACTACCAATGATATTGGCGTTTGTCTTAGTAGACATTTGGAACTTCGACAAAAAAAGACCTTTTGTACTCATTCTATCACACCATTCGTGAGTTTTTAATAACTTAAATTGTGTGTTTGAAATATTTCAAACTTAAATGATAATAGTGAATCTGTTTTATTTTTTTTCTAACTTTAATCCTGGCTAAGCCATAGATTATAAAATCTATGTAATTCTAGAAAATTCGTTACTACAATTACCTTTTTTTATATGTTTTATTCATTCAAAGCTTTTCTATGGTTTTTACCACTGCCTGCTTTTTTAGTCTTATACGTTAAATGTTCTTCTACAAAAATATTTAGCTTGAACTAGACAAAGACGTAAACGATTAGGTCCCTCAGTCGAATCGTAAAGACCACACCATAATCATAAGCAATAACGGACAGTAAAAAAGTACTAAAAGAAGTAGAAAATAAAAAAGATATAAAGTTTGATGATTTAGCTTTCGTAGTTTAAAGCAAATTTTATGTTACGAATTAACGATTGAGTGTGAACTTACAAAGACGCAACAAACATTTTGAGTTCATGAACTATAAGCCCGTTAACAAAATGGTTTCCACGAGAGTTACGATGCTGAATAAATCTGTTAATTATCAATGAGAATATTTTATAATAATAAAACCACCCCAACATCAAGGAATTGTATGTTGTATTGAGGTGTGTCCAATTTTTATTTAATTTTATTTGTACTATATTTTTAATATCATGCAATGGATTCATAGATAACAGATTTCATGAGATCTCGTTCTCTATAAGGTATATTATTTCGGTAGAGTTTTTTTTTTGAGGTTTATTTTTATATGTCCATGTCTGCTACTATAATGTAAAGGTAGTCGATTTGAAGATATCGCAATATCGATACTGTAAATTAACATTGAGTGAAAATCGCCATTTCTTGACTCTGCCATTTCATCCCTAATTTTACCTTACCGCTGCTCTCCAAACCTTACCAAAATCCACACATCACTCACAACACAATTGTGATCGATTGATAAACAAACGCGGGGGCGGGGACGCCTGTTGCGCGGCAACTCACCGGTGATCAGGGCGAGTAGCGCCAGGGCCGCCAGCATGGCCATGGCGGCGACGCGCGGGCATACCACACCCGCGCCCGCTGCGCTAGCACGCCGGCGCGCTCATGCGGCCTGCTGACACTGACGCGGCCGGCCCGAGCGGCGCTCGGCGCGGGACTGACCTCGCCCGCCGCTGACACCCCCGGACACCCCCAGCCTCAACCTCCCCCCCACACCCGCACCCTGCGCCCCGCCTGCGCCTTCAGGTGCGCGTCGCCGCCCTGCCCCTTAAAAAATCCTCAGCCCATTGTGTGGAGGGCAAATGAGGATGTTCAAGGTGTTAAGTGGGGCAGCGAGGGCAAGGTCGCTGCATCCGAGCTCAGCCCCCTCCCCCAGAAATCCCTTGAATTTTCCCATAATAATGGCGTACAAGTAGTTAAAGGGAAATGTCGACGACCGCTCCAAGCGCGGGCCCTGTAAATTTTATGGGATGCGCTCTACATAACACACTTTAGGTACGTTCTTCGTTTAATTCCTCTCCCGGAAAATTCCTCGTAGATGTCTACTTATAGTGAAAATTGGAAGATGTCTAAAACAAAAGTAACATCCACCCTTTGTAATTTGCTCAACATTCTTTCTCTTATCAAGATAACCGGACTAATGAGGATATATAAAATGTTAATTGGGGTAAAGTCAAGCTCGCTCCAATCAAAAGCCCTGTAATCCTTACGCGCTCTCCATTTTAGTGTTAATTTTACCTTTTGTTAGGTTGGCAAAATTGAGTTAACCCCATCCGCTGAAAAAAATCTTAACGATTACAACTGTGGATGTACTCGTAGAATGGCGACCTTTGCAACGTTAAGAAAGATGTAAGGTACACTCTGGTGTCCTTTATAACCGAAAAGTATTTAAACTAAATGTATACATTTTATTCATTTGGTATCTCATAATATGTAAGTTTACTAACGGTGTACGGTGTTTTGCAATTTTCAAAACATGGTTGGGACCCCTCATTTCTTAGTCCTGCACCCCTTAACGTGCTCTTCGAAGAGATATTCGATCTGATTTCCTTGAGATTTAACAAAGATGCTTCGTAACATTGTAAGAAAAAGAAGTTTTTTCGACTATATCTATAGCACCAACCAGGACCCAAATCCAAGACAAGATCTTTAGCTTGTGCAGCCACTAAGTATACTACAACACATTTTAATACGAAAATCACACCTTAGATCAGTCGCTGCGTGAAAATACTCGTAGAACATACCTAAAACTTCTCTTTCCAGATAACTGTAGTTAAGATTTAACATGATTTTCACATTTTAGATTATTTTTTAACATATTCATGCTGAAACAGTAAAGGAATTTATTGACAGAAAATCTGCAAGTCTGAGAGAACCTAACTATGTAGTTTTCGAAAAACCAGTTAAGTACGCGAACCCGCTATTAGCCAGCATGGCGGGCCTGTGAATGGATGGAAAGCTCGATGCCAGCAGATGCACATTAAATCAAGTAAATTATGTATTAAGAATTTAAAGAATTTAATTTCGATATGCTAGTTTATCATTTGTTGTGTCAGAATTATTCATAAGCTATACTTACTAATATACTTGCTTTTATATATAAATGTGAATTTGTGTTTCTTTGTTTGGCCTTCTTTCACGTCGAAACAGAGCGATGGATTTGCGTGATTTTTGTATGGAGATAGACTGCTGGAGAGTGATATATGTAGCTTACTTTTTACTGTGTGAGATCATCTCATTCCTACGGGAAAACACGTTATATTATAATACAACCCACAACAATTTATCATATCTATGTATATACACAATATAATTATCTATTCCATACTAACCGTTAAAACGTAGGTACCTAGGGCAAACCTGAGTGAAGTGAGGGTGAGTCGCTAGTAGTAGTATATAAATAACTAGCATTCCCGCGGCTCCGCCCGCGTTCAGTTGACCAAAAACCAAGTTCTTAGGTTTTACATATTAGTATACTCCTACATTGCAGTTTTTGTATTTTTTCTCAGAAATGAGATATTTTCCCAGGGTAAAATATTGACTCGGATAATCAGTTATCACCATACCAAATTTCATCAAAATCCCTCTAGTGGTTTTTCTGTGATGCGGTAACAGACAGACAGTCAGACAAAAATTCTAAAAACTATAGATTCGGCCTTTGTATCGCGATAATAATGTTTATTCCAATAAGATTTTCCAAAAAATATTTGATGTACAGATTCGGCTTAGTTACAATTTTATTATATGTATAAACAATGGTCAATATACGTAAGGTAGAACAAGATTGCAGCAAAGCCCTGTAATCTTTAAGCTGCCATCGTGGCTTATAGTCCATACTATTAATCAATGCCCGCTTGGCCGCAGTCTTTATTCGTCATGGAATCGAACGATTTGTTTACTTTTTGCGACGTCGAACAATCTTTTACGATTTTAGGTATAATGGTCAAGATTTCCTTAATGATGATTGGACGAACTTTACTCGTATATTTTATATTTACAAAATACATATATATGGCTTAAAGCGTTTATTATTATTGTACAAATTATTTCTTTTTTTATTGTTATTTAGTACCTGGTTTTTTTGTTGTTTTTTTTTTGAGAAAAAATATAAAAATTGCATTTTTAAGCAAAACTTATCTAAATACAAAGTTTGATCCAAATCATTAGAGCAGTTTCCATTCCATCCATTCACACGATATATATATATATATATATATATATATATATATATATATATATATATATATTTAAGAATCGCTCATTTAATATTATAATAAGGTAAAATTCATTAATTATTATCTTACTTATTTTGGCCAATACTAGATAAATCTTTTAACAGTCCTAAAATTAAGATTTTTGAAAAAAAATGTAAGTACAACAAATCGAATAATCTAATAACATTTGTATTCTCAGCTTGAAGCTAAAGAGAAAACTAGTAAGAATTTAAGTTAATGCCTTTTTTCGTGACCCTACACAATATTAGAACGTTGAACTCAGTCAAATTAAAGATGGCCAAACTTCTTATAAAAATAAATCGAAATTCTTCAGAATATAATTTATTTCACGCCAAATTGCGATGCTTAAGAAATAATCTTTGCACATTATTTTGCTAATAAATTTCGACTCAGCACTGGCAAAATATTATTGTAAAAGTTTCGCCTAACTGGTCTGCGAGGACCTAAATCCAAGCTATTATTTTGTCCCAATTCTGTAAAACACCCAGTTTACATATTTTCTAAAAAGATAAATATTTACTCAATTATCAATTAGATAGACTACTTAAGTTAAAGCATACTTGTATTTAGATCGGTTCTATTATGATAAATTCGTTCTGTTTTCATAGTTTAAAAAATCTGACAAGGGCGAGTACGATTAAAAATAAATATATATTTTCTAATATAAATTTTACAAGTAACATCAATAAGTTTGGATTTTTATGAATAACAAAGTTAATTTTGCTATCACTAGACTAACAAAGCGTGATGACGAAAATATTCCATATCTAACTATTCCACAAACTTACCTACGAGTATTACTTATTTCAAGTAAGGAATGTATCACACATTCATAGTCTAATTCTAAAAATTAATTCATCCTAAAATATAATGATAGGTTTAAAAAACTAAAAACACGCTTTTGGTCATCTCTAATATATGACACTAATGAAAATATATCAAGCTAGCGACTCACTCTCGCTTGGCTCGGGTTCATCCCTAGGTTGCTTGCCCATACAAACTTTCATCTCCATTTTCACCCCCTTGAGGGATAATTGATAAAAATTCTAAAAATCTTATCTCCTTCCCAGGGTCTCAAACTATCATCTTACCTTATCTAAATCGGTGCCATAGTTTCGGAGCCTATTCGGTACAAACAAACAAACAAAAAAATAAATCTTTATAGTATTAGTATAGATAAGAATACTTTACAAGAAGCCATTAAAGATTTTCACATCATTATCAACCACCTGGATCCATCACCAAAACACCTCGATAGTCGATAGAATCAAATTAATTATTATATTTTCATCAGATTTAGACATACAAAGTTTGAAATCCTTTCGACAATATATGGAAATTATACTTATTAGGTACACTTATTAGACCTGATAAAAATCGACTACCAAGATTTGATTACATATTTAGTAAAGCATGTACAAGTAAAGCTAATAAAAGCATGTAAAAATAAATCATAAAACATAAAAACAGAAACTGAAATGAATGAAATCGACTTGAAAATATTTTTACTTGGCTGTAGAGTGGAGAGCTTACACAAAACACTCGTAAAATGTACAAAATGTAGCGAAAAGTGCTCAACGGAGCCTGCTATCTCATATCTATGATATTTAGTATATGAATATTGTTGGAATGTGTTATGAATCTTCTTCTACTTCTTGTTGGATATATTTGGAAAATTGCGAATATTAAATTATTTCCTTATTTGACGACACGTTTGGCTTAGTTTATAGTAACCCTACTTGTTGTGCCAGCGGTTGCGGGTTCGAGTCCCGCTGGGGGCATTCATTTGTGTGATGAGACAAACATGCGTTTGTACTTCAGTTATGGGTGTTTATTATTATAATATTATGTATTTAAAGTTATATATGTATAATGTATCAACTATCTGGTATCCATAACACAAGACTCGTAGTTTACCATGGAACTAGAAGTAGATGGTGCTGTGTGTTAATGTCCCAACATTTATAGTAATATTTGGTGCCGAAGAAAGTATTTATTATATAAATATATGTATGTATATTGTTATATTGTTAGATAATATAACATGCTATGTTTTAATTAACCTTTTTAACGTATATATCGTAATAATCAGGATAACGGAGGCATTTAAAACCACCAATGGAAGTGCAACACCCAAAATATTAAAGGGAAATAATAAAAAATGATTTTATTCTATGTACTTTCTTTAAGTACAATTTTTATTTTCAAAACATTTACAAAATTTAAAACTAAGCTTTCACGAAACGAGTAAATAAACACTCCCCAAGATTAACTTATCTTCCACGATATGAGCTGAGCCAGCCACTCCGAGCATAACAAGCTCCAGATGCTATTTAACTTTGCCAAGCATCTAATGTAACATTTTATTTAACCCTAGTTGAAAATATTTTTATTTGTACGCCAGCCGCTCGCTTGCTTGAAAGTTAATAAAGTTTTTTACCAGACTATGTCATATTTGTGTTGAAAATTTGCCTTTTTTCCATCCCATGCTCTGTTGGGCAAATTAGCCTGTACTCTGGTACAGTTGAAACAAAGTAAATGTAAAAGGGTAAACGTCCACTTTATTTTCAACTAAACAGACAACACTTAGACATTATTTCTTTTAATTTACTCGTGTCCACATATCCTAAACAATTAAGACAAAATTAATATTTTAATGATCCTATCTATACATATAATAAAATTGTAACTAAGCCAAATCTGTACATTAAATATTTCTTGCAAAATCTTATTGAAATAGACATTATTATCGATACAGAGGCCGAATCTATAATTTTTAGAATTTTTGTCTGTCTGTCTGTCTGTCACGGAAAAACCTCTGGAGGGATTTTGATGAAATTTGGTATGATGATAACTGATTATCCGGGTCAACATATAGAATACTTTTTACCGCGGGAAAATATCCACAACATTTCTGAGAAAAAATACAAAAACTGCAATGTAAGACTAATATGTAAAACCTAAGAATTTGGTTTTTGGTCATCTGAACGCGGGCGGAGCCGCGGGCAATTCTAGTATCTTATAATTTAGAACTTTTCAACGTCCCACAGCTGGGCATGGGCTTTACACAGAATAAATCACAGTCCACCACGTTAGTCAAATTCTGGTACATGGATTTTACATACATATCTTTCAAAAATTAGCTGGGTTCTGCCAGACATACAGTAAGTTTTTTTAGCTTTATTATATTATCACATCATAGATATATTTTTTCTGCTTCGTGTTGTTCAAAGTAAAAAAAAACATATCGCATCTTTTAATACACAAAATATTTAACATAATACTTGAGTAATAGTGCACTGTGCACCTAAAGTTAAGCGGTGATATAGTCATGTATGGTACAGCTCATTAACTTAATAAAAGCCTATTCATGTCTTGAGAACGGAAACTCAGTCTACTCTGGTGACTTGCTTTCTTACACAAGCTTACAATAAATAATTGGGAGCCCGCCGCTTACTTTTCGACATTTACTTTAAATCACGTATTCAAGGCTTTATAAATGTAACAAAAGTCATATTATCTAAAATAATCTTATCAAGTAAATTGGAAATTAAATATTTACTATATAAATAATAGCGACTCACTTTGTGCCTAGTGAAAAACAAAAACAAATCTATCCCATAGGAGTAGGATATATTTCTCCGCGATAAAAAGGAACCTATGTGCTATTCCAGGCTATAATCTATCTCCGTGCCAAATTTCATCCAGATCCGTTCAGTCGTTCTACCGTTCTAGAGTAAGAAACATCCATCCATCCAAACTTTCGCATTTATAATATTAATGGGATAATGAGATTACTAGATTTCATTTATAACTAGCGACTTACTCTTGCTTTATTCATGAGTAAATAATACAATGCCGCCATGTTTAATTCAATTTTGCAAACGTTACAAAATGGCGATTTATCATTTCTATAGTCACTTATGATATGGACATCAAATAAAAGGGCTTCATGAGCAAACCGTATATGGAAAATGACATCATTGTTTATGTTTTTTATACACCCCATGATATGGATATCAAATAAAAAGGTTTACTGAGAAGGATACGAATAACTAAAAAATTAAAAAATAAAATAATTATTTTTAAAACCAAGCTTATATTTAAATGCTCTAAAATCTAAAAAGAAGAAAATAAACTTTAAATTTAACCAAACCCAATCCCAATTTATTATATTACACAATTTACATGATATAAAAGCTTGTCGCGTGATTTAGGTACCTGTGCAGATAAAGAAGAAATAAAATTAAAAAAAATAAAGTCTTTTATATAATACGCGATATAAATATGCTTCTTTCGCGTATCTTGAATAAGGCTCCAACGATTTGGATTAAATTTTGTATTTAGATAATGTTATACTTTTTAAGTTTCTATTTTCTGGAAAAAGACAAAAATTTTTATTTTTTCTATTTTAGAAGAATACGGGAAATCGATGGTAAAATATAACAACGAAGATTTTTTTACAAAAGAAACTAACTTTATTGAATAGCACTTATAAAATTCAAAATTATTGATGACATGTTTATGAATTCAGCAGGTCAGAAAATGATCAGAAAAGTTTTTTTTCTTTCGGTTTGTAGGTCAAGAAAAAGTCCCTATATTGCGGCACGAGAACAGGTGTTTGGCCTGGAAGGCCACAGTTAGTCATTGTGTCTCGTACTTTCTCTTCATCTAAATCTTTTAGTTCGCATAATTCAGTTAGAAACTCATTCCACTCGTCCCAGTTCAATTCGGACTTACTAAAACAAATGAACAGGTGAAAATTAGAATGTGTATCATAAATCGATAGTTGTTTTAAATAGAGCTTATTAGTATTAGATTAAAGTAAAATAATTTTTGATTTGCATTACTGTTTTATAAATTCTACGGGGGATTATAATATGATGAGTATTCGCATTTTACTCAGCCTAAAATAATAACAGAGTGTAGGTACTGGACGGATCGTGGGCGAACTCAATATAAACTATCCAAAAATTATTATAATATTTTGTTTATCAATTCCATCCCCGCTATAGAGCTTTACAATATACTGAGGATCATAGTGATAGCGACATCTGGCGGGAAAAAATGGCAAATTTATTCTCTATTGCAGCAACATGTTCTTATCTAAGAAATATTTCTAATAATTTCATTGTAAAGCTTGTCACTTGAAAACGTTTGACTCTATTCGATAATAATTAGCATCTTGACAATAATGCCACTTACGGTGCCCAATTATATCTAAAAGTCAAGCTGTTTAGAAGAAGAAGAATAACAAACACACGAATCACGATACAATATTATAATTTCTGAAAAAAAATATGTATATAATAATCTAAACAAAATAAATATGTACCTGAACTTGTTGAATAATATTCCAGTGTCTGTCATAGTTAGCTTTCTATCGTCTAATAGTTTACACTGTCTCATCCAAAAATCTGAGTTGTAAAGAGTAATTGTCGTCCCATCCCTCTTTTTGTCCATCATTTTTGAAAATTCAAAAAATTGACCTTCTAGTGACGCTGGTTCTTCTTCACCCATTTTTTTTATTCGTTACCTATTTTAAATGGACAGATTTTGATGAGTACGATGATAGGTGGTTATCATCATACTAAGGACTTTTAGGCAAATGTGACAGACAGGCAAATGAATAATAAAAGAATCGACAGTGTGTCCAACTTAAAATACTACACTTGAATGTATGATTATACCAATAAAAAAATAACACTGTTTGCGTTTCTAATTCTTAACAAGGATTTAAACAATTGGTTGAAGATATTTGAGCTTTACTTCCTGAAACTAATGTCATCGACGGCATGGCCTACATTACATCGTAAGCAAAGTTTCTTTAGGATCCCATATAAATTTGCAAGAATCCCAAGTACTTCAAAGTCTTCGTGTACGAAGACAAAACTTACACTCAGAACACTACCTGCTGCACTTGATACAAGATGTTTTTTTATAGTATTCAGTGACAAATAAGCAGACAGCCCACCTGATAGAAAGCGGTACCTGTCGACCATAACAGTACGGTTCATGCACTTAGGTTTTATGTTACAAAAATGCAGAACCGCAGGTGCGTTGCCACTGTGAGGACTAAGATATGCCTTTTGCCTGTAATTGCGGAACACAACAATGTAATCATTGTTGCTTGGCGGCAGAAATAGCTAGGGGGTGGTACCCATACAGTCGGACTCCTCAGGCTTGAGTCTTGACAGAGTCCTACCACCAGTAAGATATACATTATACATACATACTAGGTAAATTTTGCCGAATGGTAGGTTCTTTTGAACAATAAAAATACTTTTAATCATTCTAGTCTCCTTCTTTTTGGAAGTCAGTTAATAATTTATAAAAGAAGTCTCTTGTAAATAACTTAATAAAGTGATTAAATAAGATTGTAACATATTGTTACCGACCTTAGATATTTTTACTATTTAATAAAGCGGAAATATGCAATATTATATAAGAAATCACGAAACTATGTATTTATACAAATATTTTGGTATCTCAATTGATTCGCTCAGAATTAAATAATTATTTTATTGAGAATATGGATTTTATTTTGACTCGAAATTCAACTTATAAGTCGGAAAACAAGCTATCCGTTGCCTAGATACCGAGCAAGGCAGGTATGCTAGCAAATAAAATAATATTTATAACTAACAGAACCCGCGGCTTCGCCCGCGTTCAATCTACGTACAAAAACTCTTTTGCTTTATGTTATATATATTTTTATAATATTAAATTATTTGGGTACTGTTCATACAAAAATACTAAAATCGTGATTAAAAAACGAGGAGTGGGGGTAGGAAGATCAAAATTACTTTACGACCTATTCTCATACCTACTAAATATAAAAATATTTATATATTAGATAAAAATAGCCTTTTATTACAATTGCAACCTAGAACGTTTAATAAATAATAATAATAATAATAAATGATTTTATTTCAGATTTATTCGCCAATGTAAAATGTCTACAATATAGTTACAATAAAATTATCATAAAATATATACATAAAAACATTAAAATACTATTACCTACTTTTTATTTCTACCGCATTGCTGTGTCAACCAATGCCGGAGAAAGTCAACAGTCAAGTACTCGCCCATTACACGTAGAATCTCATTCTTAGAATTACGTAGTCGATCCCAGAATGCAGCAATTCTGGAACGGACCACCGCAAAAAAATCTGGTATCCTGGCTGAAGCAAACATATCAGATGCGCTACAGAACCTCGGTAAATTCATCAAAGTCCGGTAAGCATCATTGTACTGAACTCTGATGGTGCTGTACGCGTGCCTCGTATAATTGAACCACAGTTGACATGTATATAAATTCTGACAGTATGTTTTAAACAGAGTAGTTCTTACGTCCTGGTTACAACGAGAAAACCTGCGCGCCATATGTTACATCTCACAGCAAGGGCTCGACGCTCACGTTCTATATCACTGTCATCTTTGAGATTCTCCGTTAACAAATGGCTCAGATACTTGAATGTTGACACTCTTAGGATTAGTTTACCATCAATCAATACAGAGGGCACCACATCCGGACCCCTTCCACTGTTAAAAACCATAAATTCAGTTGTAGACACATTGTATTTAAGTCCATGACTTAAAGCGTATTTTTCACAAATACTTAATAGTTGTCTAAGAACACCGATAGAGTGACTGAGTAGCACCATATCGTCGGCATAACTTAAATTATTTATGCACACACCACCGATGTGACAGCCAACGTTTGTGCACAAAGTTAAGTGCAGTACCTACTGGAGAATAAGTGTTGTGCTTTGTCACTTTATGTTATTATTTATTACGGAGAAGAAGTTAACAATATCGTTGTCATTTCAAATACTCATACGAGTAACTTGAGTGACTTAATTAGTACGTTTAGTTCTTCAATCTATATCTAAAAATATGGCAAAACCCTAAACTAGTGCCTAGACTTTAAGACTTCAAATCAGCATATATTTTAAGGTGTCTAAAAAGATATAAAATAGGTATATACTTACAGTGTATTTAATGATTATTATTCTTAATTTGACATCTTGCAAAATAAACTGTACGTTGCCATGGTGATTAGATGATTAGAGTATTCACTGAAACATGACTAAAAATAAAATAATAGGAAATATGTGTGTGTTTTTGTTAATTTTTATACAATAGCTACTAACATCGTTATATAATTATCGTAAAAAATATCCAGCTCCAAAAAAGTAAAATTTAATATAAAAAAATATATTTAAATAACGCCATTTCGCACGCTTGGTGTGACATCACAGTATGACACAGAAAATGACGACTCAATTTGCATCAAATTTGTAGCAAAATCGATATTTTATAAAAAAAACTTTATTTTTTATCATTTTGCTTCTTTTTTATCTACACAGGTAAATCTTCCGACAAGCTTTCATATCATATAAATTGTGTAATTGTTGGGTTTGATTTAATTTAAAGTTTATTTTCTTCTTTTTAGAACATTTTAATAAAAGCTTGTTTTTAATTTAATTTGACGTGAAACTTCTTTAGAATCGTTGTGATTTGAAACGCGATGAAACGAAAATGCGACTCTAGGACGAAACAATCACATAAACATATAGGATTAAGCCGGCGAGAGAATGAGATAGAATAGAACAGGACAGGACAGAATAGAATACATTACCATGTTGCCATGGTAACCGTTGTTAATGTCTGACAAATAAATAATATTATATTCTTTCCGTATATGATATTCTACAAATATATGATTCCAATATTCCTAACATGCCTTATTAAATTATTGATGTGTATTAATTTAATTGCGATATTTCCCAAAGAAGTTTTACTTCAACCGCGCGTAAAGGTTAATTGTTTTTTTACAAAGACTCAGAATTTTTTTTCAATTAAATTACCAATATAATTACTATACCTATATCCATTCCCAACAAAAGTGGCACTCATGACACCGCACAAATCTTCTAAATTCTATATATAATAAATTAAGTGCTAATGTAAGACAATAGATAAAACTAGACTTAAATTTCAGTTATCTAACACCTGAATCTTATTGTTAGAAGCAATTTAATCTCAACCCAAACCCAACAACGGTATCGTACACCTTATACATTTACACAATTCAAACTCAAACAAGAGCTACAATAACGGGTTATACTTTATGCCTTCAACAAAGCCGATTCAGAACTACTGTTACGACATAAATGATTCATTCTACTAGTTAGAACCGATCATCATTTTACCACACGACCCTTAGAAGTTAAAGCTTTGGTACTGCAATACTAAATAATATTAATATTATTTATAACAGAATCAGAATTTCAATGGATTTAATTTACGTACCTAGCCTATATGTAGAATAACATTGTAACTAAGCCGAATCTGTACATTAAATATTTTATGGAAAATCTTATTGAAATAGACATGATAATTAATTATCGATACAGAGGCCGAATCTATAGTTTTTAGAATTTTTGTCTGTCTGTCTGTCTGTTACCGCATCACGGAAAAACCACTGGAGGGATTTTCATGAAATTTGGTATGGTGATAGCTGATTATCCGGGTCAACATGTAGGATACTTTTTACTGCGGGAAAATATCTCATCTCTGAGAAATCTATACTACACGTTACAACGTAAGTAGGTACGAACCCGAGCGGTGCGAGGGTGAGTCGCTAGTCACATACCTACAAGTAAATGAAATGATTTCCTAGTAATAAGGATGTGAATGTTTGTGAAGATGTTTTTCCGATAACTAAATTTTTATGTTCTGAAGCTTTTATGTTATCAAAAACCTTAATTACTTTACTTGAGTCTAACGCTGTATTAATAAGCATGCGTTTATCAGTAACTAGTTAAAGACCTTGTCTTCGCTCGCGCGATAAGTACTTAGGCCGGGATCAAAGGTAGCTTGTGTCAGTTCTCAGGATGCGATTTATGTCCTTGCCAAATTTTATCGAAATCTGTTCAGAGACTTTAATTAATTATATTTATATCCAAATCTAAGTATTTTTCTTCTAAAAAATTCTTCAACTATTGATGAACCAACAAAAGAGATTGATTACATTCTGTTATTAAAAATTAATAACAATTACATTTTTTTATCCTTATAAGAATTTCCTGTGCAATAATGGTCCATCTTTAGAATGTAATTTTAACCTCGCTTTAAATCTAAGCTTTTCCAGAGTACTTAACGTTGAAAAAAAGTTTTTCTCGTGTATTGATTGGACTTAAGAGAACTATATTATGTATTATAATCTAATTTACAGAACTTTGGTTTAATTGCCAAATAATCCACAAAATACTATGTAGATAGAACTGGGACCTCGTTAGACATGTCATAAGTATACCTATCTATAAAGATTTATTTAAGATTGCTTACCTTTCTAAACAGTAAACAATACAGTTATAGTTTACAAACTAATTTTCAAGTACCTTACTATCTATATTTGCATACAAAGCTGCTGCTTTTAAGCAATTAACAGAAATTAATGAATATTGGCAAAGAAATAAACTATAAGAATATGCGTTGTCTTTGAACACGTTTTATTAAAAGTATTAATAATATAATAGTTATTAAGTAATAATATCTATATGTAATATGAGAACTCTAGGGTCATTTAAGATTTTAGTAAAAGAATATTTCCCATCCTTTAGTCCTTTCTTTGTTTCACATTATCTTTATAAATGTACAGTATTATAATTATTATTATTATCTAGCAAATGTAAGATTGAACCTGCTAACATAAACGTAAGGACCAGTGGCGTACTTATTTACCCGACTGCGGTAGGGTCCATGGTGTAGACCCTAGAGCGGCAAACTCCGACTTACAAGTCTTTTCGAATGTCTTGATTAATTTACTACGATTATGTTATTGAGAATATTATAAATTTTGTACGTAGTGAGAAAATAATGTGAATGATTAATATGTGAATAAACAATTTAAATAATGCATAGAAAATATTAATATTGTTTAATTATTAATAGCATCCATAACATCTATATATATATAATATATATATATATATATAATAAAATTGTAACTAAGCCGAATCTGTACATTAAATATTTTTTGGAAAATCTTATTGAAATAAGCATTATTATCGATACAGAGGCGGAATCTATAGTTTTTAGAATTTTTGTCTGTCTGTCTGTTGCCGCATCACAGAAAAACGGCTGAAGGGATTTTGATAAAATTTGGTATGGTGATAGTTAGTTATCCGGGTCAACATATAGGATACTTTTTACCGCGGGAAAATATCTCATTTAAGAAAAAATCTTAAATTACTCCAGGTCTTAGTCATATTATTAGGGGGTGGCGGGTTGGGGGGTGTCATTAGGTTCAGGCAATTTAGCTGAACTTGAAGACAAGAAACGCACTCCGGAGGCGGCCCACCTTAACTTACAGTATACCATGCGGGTTGCTCTTGGTATTACTGATAGCAGAGTGGACCGCGAAAACAACCCTATAATTGTTGGAGCAACATATAAATCATTATATTATATTATGAGAAAGACGCAATTCATAATCTACTTATAGTAAATTTCATAATTGACTAAAGGAAATAGATATAAGGATAGGATGATGAACAAAAGTAGCAATGATGTTGCAGAAAATAACTGATTACACTTACCAATATTTATCTAATATATTTTATCTTATTAATGATTTATTAATATACTTACCACAAATATTTTTCTTTGTTCAAGATCCATATGTTTTTGTATAAGAAATATTACGTGTAGAGAAAATGATGTACATGATTAAGTGATGTTCATTTACACTGTATTATTTATGTCCGGTGCTACTGTACGGTGACGAATACTTTATAACACACTATACTTTAAAACTCCTAAAATAATACTACAGCCATTATAAATACCTGCTATTTATTTTATTTTAGATACATATATGTAGTACAGAATAAATACATTATTTTTAAATTTCAATATTAATTACTTTTTCTGCCTTTTTTTCTAGCACCAAGCCGTTATAAGAACTTTTTTATAGAAAAACTGAATTAATATATGTATTATTCGACTCGATCTAGGACTCAAACCCGTCCTTTGTCCCAGTGCTACAAGCTAGAAAATAAACCAACGAGCCAGTTAGTATAAGTAGAATAGAATCAAAAGCGGCCATTTTTTAGAAATTAAGTTAATTATATGGAAAAAAAGATAAGTTCAAATTACTCGTAAATCTACTGATTTAGAGATTGTGTTTCGTCTATCGCCTAAGTCACTATTTTCAAAGCCGATTATTTCAATTGCTCAGCTAATTACAGGCTCCTATTTAGTAGACATTCTTAAAGTCCCAAAATATTTTTTTTAAATAATTTTGCTTTTAAAGATAGTAAATTATATTTCACTAGCGAATGACTCGCTTCGCTCGGGTTCGTCCCTAGGTTGGTTCCCCATATAAACTTTTATCCCCATTTTCAAACCCTTAAGTAATGAATTCCGGGATAAAAACTATCCTATGCCCTTTCCAGGATCTCAAACTATCTTCTTACCAAATTTAATCTAAATCGGTTCAGTAATTTCGGAGTCTATTCAGTATAAACAAACAAATAAAAAATCAAATCTTTCCTCTTTATAATATAGCGGATAGCCCTTTTCAATATAATTAACAGTATATTGTAGATAAAAAGCAACGAAATTCTAAGAAAATAAGCATAATAATGATACATAATATAGCCTACTTTGTTTGTTGTATATTTTACATTATAATAAAAGTACAGGCTACCTATATTTGCTAGATCGTCCTTAATTCACACATTTCATTTTTTTTATCTTCACCGAACCTTTCCAGGTTTCTAAACTAAACCTCATCTCACGCTTGTCTATGATCAGTTGTCAATGTCAACGTCACTTCGTCGGAACATTGTCGTATTTCGTCTATGGTCGAGGCTCAAAATTGGCTGTCTTATTATTTTTAGCTAATAAACAAAATAAATGTAATTTAACCATTATGAATCAAACAATTAATGTAGACCAGTTAAATTCAGCTCTAACTTCGCTTAGAACACTACGTTCAAGCGTCAGTCATGTATTTGAGACGTTATCAAACGGCCTCAGAGCCGACCATGGCGAAGATGGAAAAGATAAGTTCCTGTTAGAACTTCAAGAACTTCTTAATAACGTCAATATAAATCTTCGAGACTTAGAACAAACTGTTAATGGACTACCGATTCCTACTGCTCCTTTTAACCTCGGAAATACGACATTTCTAAGCCAAGAAACTACACAAGATCGGCAAGCTTTGTATACACAATTAGTAAACAGTTACAAATGGACAGACAAAATCCACGAGTACTCTTCTTATGCTCATACATTACTAAGCCAGAATTCACTAAAGCGCTCTTACATAAATTCAGGCAGTACCAAGCGTCGAGGTAAACTACAAAGCAATCATAATGTGGCACCCTTACAAGTCGATAACGTTATAAATAACATAGACAGATCTTACAACGATATGAAAATAACTATATCGCGTCCATTTGCAAGCAATGCTGTAGTGCAAATCAATTTAAGCCACGTCCTGAAGGCTGTAGTTGCCTTTAAAAGCCTACTTATGGAATGGGTCATGGTAAAAGGATATGGTGAAACTCTAGATCTATGGACAGAATCCCGGCATCATGTATTCCGGAAAGTGACAGAGAATGCACATGCAGCCATGTTACATTTCTACTCTCCAACACTACCCGAGCTGGCTGTGCGATCATTTATGACATGGTTACATAGTTATGTAAATTTATTCAGTGAACCCTGCAAAAGGTGTGGTTGCCACCTCCACCATACCTCAATGTTACCTCCGGCCTGGCGTGACTTTCGCACCCTTGAACCTTTTCATGATGAGTGTAAACAATAGTTAATGTGGTATTGAATGGGAAAGCATGGAGCATATATTGTATGGTAAATATGTTGCAGCTTTCTCATTCAATATTATAAGTGAAAGACTTGTGACTTATATAAGTGAGGTATAAATAAATAATGACTTATTAGTGATTTTTGATTAAAGTAAATTCAAATTTTACTATTAAAATATTATTTATAGGTTTAATAAATATGGATCTTGTGTAAACTTATTGAATAAAATACATTTTTTTTTTCTATATAAAAAATATTTACTGTCTGTAAACTGTCAGATCACAATCATGAGCCATTATAATTAGATAAAAATGTTGTCCTATGGTAAATGTATTTTTATATCTACTATAAAGTTGCAAATTTAAAATCAATGTAAAAATAAAACAATATCCACAACTAATATTTATTTATTTAACAGTCTTAAATCATTATAACAAAACATGAATCTATGTAAAGGGTCGGCACATAGCTACTGTGTGATCTACACTACATTCAACTGATAAAACATGAGCTCCAATACTAATTTTTAGTGGAAAATGTTGGTCTTTCCCATGGCCTAGGCCTAAACAACCATGTCTATTTCTACCCCACATATATAGATCCCCATCTTTAGTTACAGCCGCAAGATGGCCAACCCCGCATGCTACTTTAGTCACCATAGATTCTGGATTAAATTCATTGCGCCCAAATAATGGTGCTGGAATTTGCTTAGGACTGTGTGCGTGTTGTACATTAGGTCCAAGGCCTAATAAGCCAAAGCCCCAAACAAATACATCTCCATTTTCTGAAAAAAAAGTTATTTACATTATTATATATATATATATATATATATATATATACATATATTAAAAGATATTTACATTATCCATTTAATACATAGAAACAGTATATAAAGTATCCATCCCACTAATCCCATTAATATTAAAAATGTGAAGGTTTGGATGGATGTTTGTTACTCAATAATGCCAAAACAGCGAAACAGATCTGGATGAAATTTGGCACTGATAGATTGTAGTCTGAAATAGCACATTGCTTACTTTTTATCCCGGAAAAATGTATGGTTCCCATGGGATGGATTTGGTTTTTTTTGTTGTTGGTGATTTGCTAGTTTTACCATAAAAAGAACTTAAAACTAGGCTACTTTTATATGGCAGCTTTATTAACTTACCATTACATACTAAACAATAGGATCCACCAGCAGCGATATCTACTATCTTTCCTAGACCTTTGGTAAAATTAACTAATGCATAAGACATGTTAACTTGTTGGTGTTTTGAGTTCATTGGTACTTGTCCATATTCTGAGTTGCCCCAACCAAAGAGTTCGCCATTATCTACAAATATAAAAAAGAGTATTTTAATTGAAAGAAAAAAAAATAAAGCATAGTGAGAAAAAGTTGGAAAAGTTTTAATGGATTTGAGATAAAAAATAATAAAAACAATATTTATTACCAACCATTTAATGCTAAAACACAATCAACAGTGGAAGCAACTTTAACAATCTTTTCACTTGTGATGTCTCCCTTCACGGGAGCAGGGTGGCCCTGATTGTCATATGTTCCAAGACCAGTCTGACCATCCGCTCCCCATCCACATGAATACACTTTACCAGACTCTGTTATGAAGAGGCTGAAAAGGTTTTAGTATTTAAGAAAGGTAGTACGACTGTGTGTAAAACATTTAATGCGGCGGGTAAACAGGCTGTTGTACAACATATTATGCAGGGTGTTTATCACTTTGGAACATGTTGTCTGTGATTTATTTGAACATAATAACCAAGATTTTTTTTTCTTTAAGACTCAATATTTTGTTTTTGATTGTGCCATATTTGCTTTATTAAACCCTCCTTTCATGCATATTTTCTATACAAAATTATTTCATCAAAATCTGTCCAGTGGTTTTCTTGCGATGTGTTCCCAGACAGACACAAAACTCTAAAAAATTTAGATTCAGCCTCTGTATCAATAATAATGACTAATTCAATAAGATTTTCCGAAAAATATTTAATGTACCGATTCAACTTAGTTACAATTTTATTATATTACTAGCATTGCCCGCGGCTCCCCCCGCGTTCAGAAGACCAAAAACCAAATTCTTAGGTTTTACATATTAGTATACTCTTAAAGTGCAGTTTTTGTATTTTTTCTTAGAAATGAGATATTTTCCCGCGGTAAAAAGTATCCTATATGTTGACCGGGATAACCAGCTATCATCATACCAAATTTCATCAAAATCTGTCCAGTGGTTTTCTTGCGACGCGTTCCCAGACAGACACAAAAATTCTAAAACCTATAGATTCAGCCTCTGTATCAATAATAATGACTATTTCAATAAAATTTTCCAAAAAATATTTAATATACAGATTCGACTTAGTTACGATTTTATTATATTATGTATAGATTACATTGTTAATTTATATGTTTTTGACCAAACTTACCTGTGATCTTGTCCACAGCATATATAAATAATATTTTCCTTGCCAAGCCTTTTAATATTATAGGATGCCATACTGCCTTTATATTCTTCATTTGGGTTTATTTTTCTTCCACATTGGCCATATGCATTATTGCCTAATGAATACACTCCTTCATTATCTGTTAATATTAACGTGTGCGCTCTACCAGCGGCTAGGTTTGTTATCTAAAAAGAGATTTAATATATTTGTTTCTTATAAGCAGACTTCGTAGACAAATATGTTTTTGTAGCATACTGTTTATACTTGGCTCCCCCTAGAGTGACAGAGTTTATTTTGTATAACATAAAATTAAAATAAATAAAAATTGTTAAAATAATGTTTTTTTTATTAAAATTAAGAAAATAAAGTGGGGCATAAAATTTTTTTTTTATAATCCAGAGAGGCTCAACAGAAAAATTGGGACACCAACAAAAACAATTGTGTATTTAGCCCTTCTTAACAATCCACAGCTGTGCCCAGGGCTTCCCATCAATAAGAGGGGGGATCAGGCCGTAGTCCACCACTCTAACGAAGTGCAGGTTGGCGGACTAGTGCAGGTTGTATTTCATTGTAAAGTTCTTATTAAATAAAAACGCAAAATAAACATAGCATTTTAGTAATTACTGGGCTAGTCATACAAAGTATTAAATTAAGATATATTACTCTAACCTTAGTTTCCAGAGACTTATAAGGTATATAAATAGGTGCAGGACTTAACAGCATTTCAAGTGGATGTCCAATTCTCGGTGCATGATAACCAATTTGGGAATCTGTATTGATACCGGTTCCAAAAACTTTATGCTGTTCATTCGTTTTTACTGCAGCTACTGTAAAACCATATCCACATGCTACGTTTGTTACCTAAAATAGTTCAAATTTATAAATTTGTTCAAATCATCGCGACTTTTTTAACTTAAAAATGTAAAAACTAACATTTAATGTTTACTTATTCTTTATATTGTATAATCAGATTAGGTTTCAATCAAGAGAGTATTATTTTATAAAGGACTTGTAAAAGTAATCTAAGGAGTACTTACATCGAATCTTTCACAAAAACTAGACCTCATAGGATGCCAAATGAAACTGAAGCTATTCCTGTAAGACTTTTTGAATTTTTTCATTGCCCTCGGCATATGTATACCGAGGGCACCAGTTTCCGCTAACCCCCATACATATACTCTCCTATCTGAACTCTTACTTACTGGATACTGAAATACTGAAAATTAGAAAAAAAATAAACAACTTTTATTCCGACAACGTCACTTTTGTTTGTGGACAAGAGTATTTCTAGTGTATTTCTACATAAAGAATAATTATAATAAATAAAACATAACCTCAAAGTAAGAAAAATTTGAAAAACAAAGCAAAGACATATTTCTAATACTATTTCAAACGAATCGAAGAAAATAAAATATTATTAGCAGTATATAAGAAATATTACTTGGCAATTGCTCCTCTTCTTTAGGATCTATAAATTTTCTTTTATTTTTCGCTGTACGATTAAATAAAATTGTTGGTGTCCTTCGCTGCAGGAATAATTTTAACGTATTCATCTTCATAAATGGATAATTGTGTGTTAACTCAAATTTTATTATATTGAAAACATCTTTTTATTTTTACACAATAATAATCTTTCATTTTCCATTTATTTGATTTCCTTCATAAATTCAAATTTCGCATTTTGACAACTGCGTTTCTTTTCACGCTATTAGGTATTAGCATAAACTATATAGAAATGCTACTTATTATGATAATTTCCTAAATGATATTTTACTGGCATTGCCCGCGACTCCGCCCGCGTTCAGATGACCAAAAACCAAATTGTTACATTTTACATATTAGTATACTCTTACATTGCAGTTTTTGTATTTTTTTTTCTCCGAAATGAGATATTTTAGTAAAAGTATCCTATATGTTGACCCGGATAACCAGCTATCACCATACCAAATTTCATCAAAATCCCTCCAGTGGTTTTTCTGTGATGCGGTAACAGACAGACAAACAACATAAAAGTCCTAACAACTATAGATTCGGCCTCTGTATCGATAATAATGTTTATTTCAATAAGATTTTCCAAAAAATATCTAATGTACAGATTCGGTTTAGATACAATTTTATTATATGTAGAGCCCTGTTGAAAAACTCCACCAGAATCCCATCAAAAGCGACAAAAGCCACATAGAAACCAATAAATTTGTATTGGTTTCTATGTGGCTTTTGTCGCTTTTGATGGGATCCTATTGGAGTTTTTAAATAGGTAGACAAATGAGTATATTAATTCAATTATACTAGTTGAATAATATGTACTCTTTCTTTAGTATAATGTTAAACAATAACTAATTGTTATCTATTTCTTTCTACCAGAGCGTTCCATTTTGCAACATACTAAATTATAAGCATTTACAACACAAAGGGTGAAAGCGCATTACTACAGCAACGCTCCGCACAACCGAGCACTTTGAAAAGTACTGCTTTGGCGTTATGCGCGCAACGGATACCAAAAAATCTATGATATGTTTTTTGCGTTGTTCGTGTTTGTGCGCCAAAGTGCGGAATTATGATCTGTGATTAAAAAACAGGGAAATGCTACAACTAAAAAATGTCGACACTTTTATAAATTGTAGAACGGAAGCCAAATAGTTATTAAAAATTAAGGTCATGAATAAAACCAATAAAATCATTAAACACATATATATTAAAATGACTACTTGTGAACATATTTATTTAATTTTCGATAGTAAATTGGCGCGGAACTGCGTGTTTTGAAACAGCGCTTTGATGAGATTCCTCAATTCTTCTACGTGGAAATGTACAGCCAAAGGTCCAATACCATCATCCCAATGGTTTTCTATATCTTTCAAGGATCCGCCCAGAACGAAAATTAATTCTTGTAACTTGACCCAGGACTTGACATGCTTTGAAACATCATTAATATTCTGAAATAAAATTAAAATAATTAATTCGGGATTGCAAAGTTACCACCGAACTAACACATTTTAAAAATATTATCCTACGCTTAGGAGCGTCATTTATATAGGATGAGATGACCCAAGGCTATACATACTAATTTTACATTCAAAAGTGAGTAAGGAAAACTATTTTTTTGATGTTTTTGAATGATACTCTATCATTGAAAAACATTCATAAAAATGGGTTCAGGACTGGCAAAGCTAGCGTAACGTACACAAAAACATAAACACGTGAAATACGTCATGTTCACGTCGAAACAGACGGACAGTTTGATGTGATTTATTGTATGAAATATGTTATGACGGTTAGCATCAATAATATAGCGAGAAAATAACTCATGAAAAACATATTATTATATATGTATATATCTATAATTATGTATGAAATACATAATTCGCGTGAACTCAACTAGATGGCGCTACTACTTTTAAAACTTATCAAAGAAAGCTATTTAACGAGGTACCCGAGCTAAGCGAGCGTGAATGAACTAATATTTATTAACTAATCCAATAAATAAGCATATTATATTATAAAAGTTAATATATTTACTTGGAATAAATGTGGGGTTTTTTGCACAACCAGTGTATACATTTCGGTGAGCTGTGTTGCCATCTCCATAGAGATATCCTCCACAGTGCACACTCGGTGTATTAGCTCATCCACAAACATATTTACTAGTGTTGCCATAAGTCTGTAAGAAAAAAAACATACTTTTACATAGTATATGTTAATATTTCACAAAAAATAATTAATTGATTGCTTAAATTAAAAGAATGTATGAAATAGCTGCCAATTTAATACACAAATCCGGGGTATTTAGAATTTCTTAACAAAGTAGCCCACTAGTTTTGGCATTACTCGATAATGAAACTCACGACCTCATAATCTGCCGTATATGCTAGCTACAAGATCGTAAAGGCATGTATGTTATATAGCTCATGTTCATCTATAGTAATATTATAAAAAAGCTAAGTTTTTAATAAATAATTTATTTTGATTTTTTGTTCCAAACGTTTCAAATGCTTTACAGCAGTCGTTACATGGGAGAGACTGTGTCAGGAACCAAAAATCACAATAAATTTACGAAAAAATCCGAAAAGATAGTTTTATATACAATGTCAAATATTCGCGTACATCTAAGAAAGTGTTAAGAAGCAAGGTTTATAACTTTGTATTATAGCGAGTAATCTCGAATACTACTGATCCGATTGTAAAAATTATTTTTCGATGAAAATGACAAAAATTGAATAACCTTAATTAAAGTCGGAAGAAAAATGGCAGTTGAGACGCTTATTGCTAACATAAAGCTTCAACGACACGTTTGGCTCAGTTTGTAGTGACCCTGCTTGCTTTGCCCGCGATGGCCGGTGCATTCATTTGATGAGTACGAATGTTTGTACTCCAGTCATGGGTGTTTATATTTATGATCTGTATGTATTTAAAATTATATATGTGTAGTGTATCCACTATCTGGTATTCATAACACAAGCCTCGAAGGTTACCATGGAATTAGATGGTGCTGTGTGTTAATATCCCAACATATTATATTTATTTAAAAGCAATAATACCTTATAAAGACATTGGACGGAAAGACACCAATCCAAACATTCTTCAAGAGTTGTAGCTGCCGTAGACATTGCCTCACCGCCGCCTCCGCGTTGTCACCGAGCACGTCATTCACCACTATACAGTTTAGATCTGAAATGATTATCACTATTCACTACATCTATACATATAATAAAATTGTAACTAAGCCGAATCTGTACATTAAATATTTTTTGGAAAACCTTATTGAAAAAAACATTATCAACGATACAGAGGCCGAATCTATAGTTTTTAGAATTTTTTTCTGTCTGTCTGTCTGTCCGTCTGACTGTTTGTTACCGCATCACAGAAAAACCACTAGAAGGATTTTGATGAAATTTCGTATGGTGATAGCTGGTTATCCGGGTCAATATATAGGATCCTTTTTACCGCAAGAAAATGTCTCATTTCTGAGAAGTATATACAAAAACCGCAAAGTAAGGGTATATTAATATGTAAAACCTAAGAATTTGGTTTTTGGTAATCTGAACGCGGACGGAGTCGCGGGCAATGCTAGTATGTATTATATAAAACAAAGTCCTCCACCGTGTCTGTTTGTCTGTCTGTTCGCGATAAACTCAAAAACTACTGCACTGATTTCATGCTGTTTTCACCAATGGACAGAGTGATTCTCGAGGAACGTTTTAGTATATAATTTGTTTAGTTTTTGTATACATTGGTTAAATATAACGATATTTGTTGGAGGTGTCGAAAAAAAATAAGCCGCCTGGGAGCTTTCAACGAAAACGCTGCTTAAACCCTTTGAGATAGAACAAAATAATGTATGGTGGAATTGTGTATTTTATATAGGTCTACAAAAAAGCCTGCGATGGCATATGTCTATCTCTTAAGGATTACATACTGTAATATGTATTTTAATTTAAAACGTACCTAGGAACGAACCTGAGCAAACCGAGGGTGAGTCGCTAGTTTAAAATATATTTATAATGGTTTTATGTTATTATTTTTACTTTGAATTTTTTTGGTTAGTTTTAGAGCGATGTTTTAACTGCCTTGGTGGTGTTGTAGCGATTACGGTTGCGCATCCGGGAGTCGATCCTGGGTTCAAGTCCCCGAGTCAGGCCAAGTTTAATTATTGTCTTGAGTTTTTTCTGTTAAGGAAGTCCCAGTAACAGCCAGGAGTTAGGAAGTTGCAGGTGTTTCACTCCATTCCCGACATTACAAATGCTTTACACCAATCACGGTCACGAGAGAGACTCAGTCGAAAAAATAATCAAATATGCGTAAAAGTATATTAAAATAAATCATCTCACCAGAAGAACGTATATTATCTAAAATTTGTTTTCTCTGCTGCTGCATATGCATCGTCAGATGTATATATCCTAGATCCCTGATCTTCTGCACCAAGTCCACGAAGCCAATAGGGTAGTCCACTTCCCTGCCCTCCATCAGAGAGAGCCACTTATCACCTAAGGTTTGGAGATTGTGCGCTAGGTACATACAGTTGTTGTGGAACAGAGCTGGAATTTAGAATATATATATATATATGTTAGGTTATGTTAGAAATTGTTGTTTTGTTATAATCGGGCTACTTTTAAAATTGCGAAAATTTGCGTGTGCGTTTGTTATCCTTTATAACCGAGTGGACAGATATAGATAAATTATAGGTAGACTATAGCCTATCTATGAAGTAAGATGTATGTATGAATGGGGTCTACCGCGCTCGAATTCGCCACGAGATGGCGTTAGTGTAGAGTGAGGTCTCTAGAAATGTCAAATGCTACTGAACGTTTACTGTTTGCGAGCTTTTTATCGCGAATTTTCACTTAATGACGTGATTATTGTAAAGATTGTGCCATTCCTAATTATCTAAGGCAGACACGGTACGGACAATAAATCTTTTTTAAAGGAAGAGTTAAAAAAGTTGATATTTTATTCTTTTGATTATATAAACAAACAAACTGTGCCTCTTTATAATATTAGTATGGATAATGATATTCTATTTTTTTATAATTATATGAATACTTACCCACATATTGTGGAATGGTTTGCAAATAATTTTCATGGTGATAGGGAACTACCGCATCGTACAGTTCAAATATAAGTCTAACAGTACAATATAACTTCTTACACACTACGTCGGAACACTGCACAGCCTGTTCCATTATAATATAAACCAAATCCAATAACTCTTGCGCCGTCTTCGATATCATACACCGAGGAAAGTAGAATAGACTTTTTGGTATCGTTTTAGCAAAAATGTCTAGAGCTTCAACTATATTGCTGTCTTCCGGGACATCTTCTGGTGGTATAGGTTCGTCTGGAATTTTCTCCACTCCTATAGACATTGTTACACTTAAATCTTTAAACATAATAGAGCGAGCTGTCTCTAAAAAGTGCTGACTCGATCGTTCCGCGAATAAAACATCAATGTTATCCATGTACTTCAGCAACGATAATCCTTCTTCAGGGAAAATCTTTATAATTTTAAGGAAGTGTTGGAAATCTTCTATCTCCGATGTAACTCGGCCGTACGTTTGGAGATCGTTTATATTATTTGGTATAGTCTCGATAAAACAGTCTTTGATCATCATTTCACAAAACTCCTCACATATTAATTGCCCGAACATCTTCATTATACTCTTGTCATCGTTAAATGGTATATTGAATTTATTGTTTAAAAAATGGAATAGAAGTCTCATATTGGCTATAGTATCACTGTACGGTGGGGTATAGTTCGTTTTGTAAGTAATGGTCACTGATGCCGAGTCGTCCGAGTCAGCGTAAACTATGGATTCGTGTTTGAGAATTGGTATGAAAACTTCTTTCTTTAGAAAATCCGCAAACTCTGTAATTTTTTCCATTAGCTTTGTGCTTTTATCTAGAGCGTTCACAACATCCATGGCGATGAGAGAATCGTCTAAAGTAATGTTAAATGTGACTGTACTCTTTCGAGTACCTGGTTTCGTAGTGTACGACACCATTCGATCCCATTCTTGATACAAATCGTGTACCAAACTATCCATAATTAGGTGAGCGGTATTAGTTATGTTAGTATACAATTCCATTTCACTAAAACCATCGGCTGGTTGTTCTATAAACTGAAGTAAATCATAAACGGATTCTACCGCCTTTGAAAAACTTTGAGCTTCTCGTCCTTCGTCGAATTCTTTAATAAATCTACCACATGTTATGACATCAAACACAATATTCATAGCGAAATTAACGGACTCTAACTCTTTGGCAATTTGATCGTGATTCTCAATGGACTTTAATATTTCAGCCATTGTTTCTTGTTCAATCTCCTTTTTACATTCTTCCATCTCCTCAACCAAAGCTTTGCTTTCGGCACACAGTTCCGTACTTTCGCTTAATATACCAGCTATATCGTAATCACAATTGTCTAAAAATATTCTAGTATCCGCTTTTAATTGTTCTATTTCTTTCATTATTAGCGGCATTTTTTCTTGTGGCGACCATGTTGCTTCAGTGCTATCAATAATTTTGCTTATAATACTTTCTACATCGTAGTCCGCCATTTTAGTATTTTCTTTTAGATCTATCTTTTTTAATTGTCGATTCCGGTTTTCGTTCGTATTTTGGGGATGTTTTGTATGAATTACGCGTCGAGCTGCGTGAACTGTGATATTTGTTAGAGTTTACGGCATGCCGAAGCGTGTTGACTAGAAATCGTTTATTGGTTTTTTGTTGGGGTGCTTTTACCCAACCTGATGGACCAACTATTTCTGCTCTTGCAGCACCTTGGACTGCTTCGCGAAGTAGTTCTTCTACTGCAAGCCTACAACAAAAAGTAATGCTATATGTTTGTAACAATAAGAAGTATTACAATGGTTGATGCCATCATGGAAAAGAGGCCAAAAGATGGGAAATTTTACTAGTCAGGCTATTAAGGGGCATCTTTTAATTAGATGAGCTCAAAATATTGCAGCTATCCAATAGAATCTTATCAAATCTCAATGTAACTGATATTTTTTTCTTTCCTTTTTTATGCACTTATTATAAATGTAAAATTAAACAAGAATTACTTTTATTTTTGTAGTTTTTACATATTTCTTTGTCATATATAACTTTTTCTAGCAATGTTTATCGAGCAACAATACATCTTTTGTAAATCAAATTGTGGTACTCTCAATACAGACTTTGTCTAGTGTGAGTTTCCTGTAGATATAAAATATATTGTAAGCTGTACTTTTTTGACAATAAAGATTTTTTTGTATTTAAAAATCTCATCAACTTTAAAATAAAACATATTATTATACATGTACTAAAAAAGTTATTTTCTTTCACTACTATTGAAATTACGTGAGCTTGCATTGATTGCTTGAATTGAAATTGCATAGCTATTATTATTACAAACAGTTATTTCGAGAGTACTTGAATGTTATATTATTTTTGTTATTTGATAATAAATGTAGTACTTGTTTACACTTATAGGGTAGAGAAAGTGATCATCACCTAACTCTTATTCCATATGAGTTACAACCACATATGACATTTTTTGTTAATAAGCAGTTTTTAGGTCCATTAAAAACAAAATTAATATTTTGTAAAAAGTTCAATAATTCCTACTCACTGTAAGGTTACTTTTAAAGTAAATGGGGAAATTCAGATTTTATAGCAATATATTCTATATGGTTGTACATATAAATATAGTTTGAGTTGTATCATAAAAATATAATTTACATTAAATTTATAATTGTGTATCATATTAATAAAATATATTGTAAAAAATCTAAATGTTCTATTTAAACAATCTCAAAACAATCCATTTATAACAAACACATATTTTTCATATACCTAAATATAAATAACTTATTATAATGGTTAAGAAGTTGTTTATAATTTGTTGTTTTCATGAATCCGAACAAAACGACAACATGTAGATACTTCTTTCATTAATAAAAAATATATTTTACATACAGTACTAGTAACTTATTAGAAAAATAGTATTAAGTAAATACACTACATGCACTTTCCTTATCTCTTAAATATTTATACTGTAAGATAAAAATAAGAGGATTAAATTAATCGTTTAATGAAGCATAAGTTATAAAGAGTCTAAAATTATTAAATATAACAATTTGTATACACATTTAATTATTTTATATCACGAATTAAACGTACTTCTCTAGGGCCTCGTCATCTAGTGGTTCTTTTTCGGGTTCTTTGCTAGCGTCTTCTTTATCTGTCATAGTTTAGTAAAATTTAGTTGCACTCTAATTACCTTTCATGTAATTAAGATATACCAAACTAATAGAAGCACAACATTCTCATCCACAGCATTAATTTTTTTTTCAATAAAAACACAAATTCAATACCATCATTTGACAAATTGACATCTACTCAGCTACTGAGTTAGTGATACGTTCAATATTTGATGCTTAGTTTTCTAAAACAACAAAAGACCAAAAATTGTAAACAATATTTGTTAATTTGGTAAGTATTTATATAAATGATAGATAAAGCAACTCGCTTCCTTTTTTTGTATTTTTTCTTTATAATTAATAAAATTAAATTTATTTAAAAATAAAAAATGATAATTAAGTAATTGAACGCATCACTAACTGTTATAGCGGCTATCTGGCAATGATTTGAACGCGTGGAGTGGAACGTCAGCCACGTACTTTGAACAGTTGTCAAAATCCGTAACATTTCACTATTGCTTGCGAAGAAAACGCAGCGAAATTTCTTCATTTCATTAGTTTAACTTAAGGTAATATAAACAAAATATCATTTATCTATAACTTAATTTACTAATATCCTATTAACCATAAATAATTTTTAAAATGTTCATGTTTTCATTCATACTTCTAATAACGCCGCTCGACTCTTATTTGATATCTTTATCTTGAAATTTATTAATAAAATTTTTAACTTTTCAGGCACCATGGCTGTAAAATTACTGTCGTTTATTCTCATCGTCGCTGCTGTAGTAACGGCGGACGAGGAACCATCTGTAGCAAGGCTGTTAGTATCTAAACAAGTTTTAAATAAATACTTAGTGGAGAATATGGATATTTTAATCAAATACACACTGTTCAATGTGGGAACAGCACCAGCAGTAGATGTAAGGTTGGTGGACAATGGATTCCACCCAGAAGTGTTCACTGTGGTTGGAGGTCAGCTCACAGCAGAGATCGATAGAATAGCTCCTCAAACCAATGTCTCACATGTAGTTACAGTTAGATCAAACAGATATGGTTACTTCAACTTTACATCTGCTGAAGTTACATACAAACCTACTGAAGATGCTATTGAGGTAAGCCATGTTAAAAGTGAAAGTAACAGTATAGGTACTTATAATTAAAACCCGCTAAGTAAATTTACTTTAATTTTATTTCTTTGTTCAAAATTTGTAGTGTGTTTGTGTGTGTTTTTATACTTTAATGAAACTTTCATTCATTTATTATAAAATTTTTACCTGCTTGTGTAGGAGATATATTGTTAATAAAAGCCAATTATACAGGTATAACCTATCTCCATTTTGTAATTCCATTTAATATTTTGAGCAACAGAAAAATATACTATGACACTGCTTACAGTTAATTTTTATTAATATTTTCCTTTAAATACACTGATAATAAATAGCTAACAATGTAATAATACTTTTTTTTAATTATTCTAATTAAGATATTATATAACAGATACTTATTATTTATAATAATTTATTTCAGCATCAATATTCTATCAGTAGTGCACCCGGAGAAGGAACAATTGTTGCTTTTAAGGACTATGACCGCAAGTTCTCATCACACATTTTAGACTGGGCTGCGTTTGCTGTTATGACTCTGCCATCACTAGCCATTCCTTTCGGTCTCTGGTATTCCTCAAAGAGCAAATATGAGAAACTCGCAAAACCTAAGAAGACTCATTAGTTAGGTTAGTTATTAGACATGTTATTGTTAATGTTGTTCTTTATCAATTTTTTTTTAAGATCAATCTGTCAATATTAGTTATACTAAAGTTAATAATTTTATTCTGGAGTGATAGAATAGAACCTTTCATATCCTATTAAGAAGAATAATCATAGCAAATGAGAAAATAACAAATATTTATTTTATATTTCAGTGTAGAGATTTAAATAGAAAACAACATTATCAATGGTTTCATTTCATTAGTTATCTTTGTTCACACCATTAATTTGTTAATAATTTATATGAACAATAAAAGAATTTTCTAATTTATAACGTATTTTAATACTTATTTAGATTTACATGAATATTTGACATTTTAAATAAACTTTATTTTTGGATTTTTTCCTGGATTTATTTTGATTTTTGATTTCCGATGTTTCGAATGCTTTACAGCAATCATGGTCATGGGAGAGACTATGGTGTTAGATATCTAAAAGGTATTATGTAGTTGTTACAGACAGGGTAGGCTACCCACAAATAATAAAAAGAATTCAAAAAAAATTGAAAAATGGCACCAGATGACCATGCAATATTTTTTTTAATTTTAAACTTTAAACATTTTTATAATTTTAATTAGTTTTGTAATTAAATATGGGACTACTTACTATAATAATAATTAATTTATTATAATTTTTTAGAAAAAATATTAATTAGTATTCTATATTTAGAGATAGAGTATGGCTATGAAATTTTGAAATTGCCGCCTTATATGTGCTAATTAAATGCAATTGAAGATGCATGGACAAATATAAAAGATATTGTCAACAAACATAAAATTCATTCAGACCTATCAATAGAGAAAATTAGGAAAATAATAGAAATGGCAATACAAAAGATCACAAATAAAGATTGAAATGATTTTGATGAATGTGTCATAGTTTGCGAAACAAATTACTGGGATAGAGACATATTATTGGAGAATACTCTTGATACATTTGTCGTTGAAGTAAACAATGAAGAAGATAACAATTCAGACTCTCCAATGTCTGGATTTGATTGTGATAGTAATAGCTTATTTTGTTAAAGTTCAATTTTTCTTGGGTCTCAAAACTTTACAACATAGCACTAATGTATACAAGTACTAAGCGAAGCCTAAATTCTCTCTTCTATGGGTGATTTTGGTTTGCTTTAATAGATAATAATAGATGTTGTTAATCTGCAAACTGTCAAACTACATTACTATATTAAACCCCGACGCAAAAAGAGGGGTATAAGTTTGACGTCGATGTCTGTCTATCTGTGCGTGTGTGTGTCTGTCTGTGGCATCGTAGCTCTCAAACAGATGGGCCAACTTCGATGCGGTTTTTTTCAGTTCAGTTTCCTTGCGGTGGTCATTAGCTATGTTTGGTTAATATCGGTCCAGCAGTGTAAGAGTATCAGCTCTTTTCCAAAATGATATAGGGCATTTTGGCGTATGATTACGCGATTAAGTGCTTAACGCGTGCCAGTGTACTCGTAAAATTACAATTATTTTTTTTTTATTTTTATTAAACTGGTACTGAACTGTTGTCTGTAGCTGTACTAGTATAGTATTATAATATCATGTTATATGCTACGGTAAATAAATCATAAACAAAACAGCGCCATCTATGAATACACAGTACAAACTTTAGAGAATGACTGATTTATCAAACATCATAAAGGGCATTGTAAAGAAAACATTATTGCGTGTCTTTTATGTATCCTTTAGGAACATTGTAAATATGTTGTGGAAGAAAACTTTTTGTAGTCAATTATTCAAAGTTGCTATACTTAACCGCCTCGTCCAGATGCGGAAATTCTGGGTTCAAGTCTCGATTTGGGCTATGTATAGTTGTAGGGTTACAGCCCGGAGTGCCTGATCTCTCATTGGTTGTGTCGAATTGTCGTCATAAGTGTAGCTTGACAGTGGAAGGATAATGGAGGGAGTGTACCTACTTTGTTTTTGCGCGCATATTGTACACTATAATTACGATATCTCTTGCGCTGCTAGTGACAGTGTGATTATAGCCGCTATGGCAGAATCTATCGCATGTTATTTTTACAAAACTATTGTCGATTCGGCGATTATAACGGCCAATCTCCATTAGAAAAATTAATGACCTTTTTTTTTAACGTTGGGAAATGCATTTACGCACGAAGTGTGGGACACAATATTATGAAAATTGCACTTTTATCTCAGTACTTTTGTATGCCTAGTAAGTATTTTTGTTTACAGTATCTTTTTAAGGATGTTTCAGAGAAGAAAAATATATTTACATGTTAATACTATCCTACTAATTATTATAAATGCAAAAGTATGTGAAGGATGTATGAATGTTTGTTATACTTTCACGCAAAAACTACTGAATGGATATTAAAGAAACTTTACAATAATACAGCTTATACATAAGAATAGCGCACATAGGCTACTTTTTATCCCGGAAAAATGTACGGTTCCCGTGGGAAAGATTTTTTTTCTAGAGGCGAAACTAAACAAAGCGAAGGTAAGCCGTTGTATTCTATATAGAGGGGATGAATATATCGATACCTATTATCATTTTCTTACTGAATTCTCAATTTTTCTCGAATGACTCACCGTCGTAAATTATTCGAGTTAGAACCAAATTTATTACTTAGATTATAAAAATTAATCATAATAAACTGCTAACCAGGCCACTATGTCCAAGTGGTGTCCATGACTTATGACAATTTAAAATTGTCTAATTATTTAAGAATGTAAGTGAATGTTGTAGAAACAATTCGCTCAATATTTTATTTATTAATGGTTAATAACACTTTCGCCTTGGACGTAATATATTAAGTCTTATTAATTTCCAATACTGATATGCGAATCTGGCTTGGAGGATCTTCATGTCGTCAATATCAAATGAGAATTGCCTCTTTGGGTTCCATGCGAGACAAATAGGCGATAGCACAAACGTGATCGAATTGGTCGAAAAACTAAATAGCCTTTAGCCAGTTATTCTGTAAAATAATTATGTAACTCGACAACTGAATCCGCGATCACACTTCATACAACATAAATACCTGAGTACTTCGAGTATGTTCGCTGTTCCGATTCAAACTATGAATTCTTACACAATACCTAGTTCTACGTTTGTAAGAGTTTTTTTTTTGTGTTATATGACTGTCTTAAAAATAGGTATATGTATTTTTTACTATTATACACTCTAGTCGTTAGAATAAGAAACAACTTGATGTAACATATCTATAAACTTTTAATTAAAACGTTTAATTACGCTATTTTTTCCTGAAAAATATGTAGTTACATATTTACAGTTGATTTATTATATTCCTATTTATATATAGTTATACATAAAGAAACTTGAAGTCTGTCTATCTGTCTGTGATTTCAAAATAAATGTTTTTTTGTCTCTTATCACTGGCGTTTCTTTTTTAAAAACATTAAAATAATCCAACTTATATTATAGCGAAAGTGTGAGGATGTATAGATGTATGGATTTTTGTTACTCTTTCACTCAAAAACTACTGAATGGATTTTAATAAAACTCCAGTAATATATTAGCTCACACGTCAGAATAACACAGGCTACTTACTTTTTATTCTCGAAAAATGTACGGTTCCCGTGGGATTAATAAATCTTAATAGTAGATTTAGTATATAAAAATTTTAACGTTTAGTAGGTAATTTTCTAAGAGCTGAGTAAAATCGAGTTTCTTTTACGTGTAGATGTAAATATCACACTTACCTATTAATTGGCTTAACGATTTGAAGGCTTCCAACATTTTGTACGTACCGAGAAAATTCAAACATTAAACACAAATTATATAAGCTATCAGCAGGACTATGTAATAGTTACCAAGCATTGAATGTTTGATCTTCAAACTTAATACGAACTTTACGATTTTTTACATTATAATTGTGATAATAATAGTTAAAATGTTTATTAAATTAGAGCTCCCTCTTCTTAACGCTTCTATACTCTTCTTATATGGCTGAGTTCACTTTTTTTGGGTGTTTGCGGAATAAATATATAATATTTACTAGCAGTACCTACGGGTTTGTCCGTGTTTAAACTTCCGATATAAACATCAGTTTCACAATAATGTATGGAAGTCTGCCCGATTTGTTGACATTTATGATTACTGCTCCGCTCCCTTAGGTAGTAGCATAATGGTTTATAGCCTATAGCCTTCCTCAATGAACGGGCTATCTAATGCACAAAATTTTTTAGAAATCGGATCAGTAGTTCCTGGGATTAGAGCGTTCAAACAAACAAACAAACTGTCTCTTTATAATATTAGTACCTATAGATAAATGCTTTTAGAAAGTGAACTTTTTAACGACTTAACGTCTTAATGGATTTGAACAAAAGGAAACGTAGTTAGCTTAATATAATCTACTTTTTACCGACGTCCCTACCATATAAGCGAAGCCATGGACAATATCTAATATCACCTCTAGGTATCTATATTAAGACAGTCATTCGTTGTATGTAATAAATATTTATGAATAACTCATGCTTTATATTTATTATATCCATACTAATATGAGTAGCTATAATAAATAAATACGTATAAGTATTTCACGCTCAGTCTTCACGCTATATACTTTGCGGTGAAACTGTCGTGTCGAAACATTTTACATTTAAACATTTCACTGACAATTAGGGGTCACCTAAATATAAAAAGGCCCCCTAAATTTAGGTGCTCGAAATATGGGCTTAAAGACGAGCGTAAAACGAAATTTAATTTAGGGGCTAGTTTAGGGGACTTTTAAGCTAGGGATCCCATACGTAGGCGGTAGTTTAAGGGATTTTGGTGAAATCGGACATATGTGTCTCACAGTAACGTCTGTGTTAGTCCAGGTCATAGCATATCTTTGTACTTACTAAACATACAAATGCATTCAGTCGTTTCAGCGTTCAGCAGTAACAATCAAACACACACACACACTTAAATGGATACTTTGTGCTGATTTTCCTAGGTCAATTTCACTCTTCGAAAAATGTACCT